TATATATTTCTATTTATGTACATGTGTCTTAAATTACGATGCTGGCACTCCAAGGTGGCCAAAAATGGTTCGCCCAGTGTGAGGAAGTTGTTTGATAAGCCCACCGAGCAAACCTGGAATGGAGATCTGTCTGTAGGGCTGAAAGTGGTTTTTCCTAACCCAAAACCCGAGCATCCATTTCCAAAAATTGGCGGCGACGCGGACTGCTGTCGGTTGAGTGTTCTTGGCGTGTTCCTGATCTGATGAAGGAAGCTTGAGATGTTGTTCATGAAGTCTCTCTCTCTCTCTCTTTTTTCCCATCCGAAACCGAAAGGGAAGAAATGACATCGGAAGGAGGAAGGTTGGCTTTCCCTTAGGAGGCGAAGAGAGGAGAAATGGGGAAGAACTCATTGAGTTAAACAACAACAACAAACCAATTACAGCCGTCCCACCCTTACACAGTTCCTCCCTAATGGCTATTTCAAACATCTTGGCAACAACAACAACAACAACAACAAACCAATTACAACCGTCCCACCCTTACACGGTTCCTCCCTAATGGCTATTTCAAATGTCTTGAGATGGTGAAGGGATTAGAAGGTTCAAGAAAATGATAAAAATGGGTCTGCGGATTCAAGAAAAGTGGGATTAGAAGAGTCAAGGGTTAGGGAACGGCAATGAAAGTGAGATTAGGAGGACGAAGAAGGTGGAAAATGAAAGGGGTAGGCCATTTGTGGCTTTCAAGATGCTATCAAACTCCCATAGTCCCTCAACATCAGGTTTATTAGCTAAGGGTTGGAAGCAATTGGATACCAGGAAAATCCGTTATAAATGTTACAGCCTTCATAAAGATTGGCAATTATATGAACACTCACAAAAAAATAATACAGTAGTATCCGCGGGATCAGTATTTGGAGTTTCACTTATCTGCAGTCTGAAAATATTAAAAGAAAAGAAAAACACCAAAGAATTCATGATGTATTTATCAGAAATGGTCACTAGAGGGAGCCAGAGATCATGGCATGCATTCTTGTTGTCTCTGATTCCCTCTAGTGGCCAGTTCTGGTAAAACATGGTCAAAACACTTCTTTCTGGATTTTCTCTTCTTTTACTATGCAATCTATAGCATTCGTTATTATCCACGGTTTTTCAGCATACGCAGTGGGGCCTGGAACCAATCCCGCATGAGTACGGGGCTCAAAACCCACACCTGTCAGTAAGGGTGGCCAGCATCCTTTGGGCGCTTCAGCTGCACCTTCAACCTTTTCATACCGATCTGGAACCCGTTCATGGCCTGGATAGCTGTTTGGGCGCTGGAGGGATTGTCGAAACTCACAAAACCTGGAAGAGAGGGAGGGACAGAGAGAGGGAGGACGCTTAGGAACAATCAGGATAACAGTGGGGTGTGGATGTATTTGCATTTTAGGGATAGGAAGGACACCTCCCCCCCAAAAAAAATAATCCTCATTCTTCTCGTTCAGGCTAGTCTAGACATCACATCTCCCTGAAGAATTTTCAAAGCCCTGCATGATTCTTGGCCTTCGAACTACGAGGGAGGCAAACAGCTCCCGTTCAAGATCTGAATAAATTTGCAAAAGAATTGCATAAAATGCTACACCTCAGATACACAAATACCCCTTGTGCCCCCTCCACTTTCAAGAACCAAGATGTGCATAGGTACCTGTACCGAGCCCTGACAGACTAGCCAATGATTCGGACAAGACAGGAGCAACCCATTCGGTGCTTTAAGGATCAGAAGCACCAGACGGCTTGTCTCTGTCTGCCGTTCATAATAAACGAAGCGGTTTCCATCAACGCTTTGGGCGATTTGTAGCCTCTGACAATACCGCCGTGTCTCGACCAGGATTCTCCTGAACGCTCACCCACCAAAACATTTGCTCTGGTTTGTGGCCCGGTCCATGAAGACTTTGGAGGAGATGATATTTCCGAAAGGCAGGAACATTTGCATCAGTTCGTTGTCGCCGAACTCTTGAGGGAGGTGGTAGATGAAGAGGTTGCATCCTTCTGGGCCTGCATTGAGAGAGGCAATGGGGGCCTAGCAGTTAGAGCTGGTTTCGTTGCACCTGGGACAAGGATAGTGAAGGGGTGGCAATTGTGGGATTCCCCTGTTTTCTTTTTTTCCTCACCCTCCTCGTCTCTTCCCGAAAGCCGACCCCGGGGGTGGGGGGGGAACAAACCTTCTCGTTGCTGCTGCTGCTGCTGCTGGATTATTGGGAGCGGCTGCGGGATCGCCTGAGCTACTGGGGTGATGGCGGTGGCCGGGTAAACAGCTGCGTAGAGGAAGGTGAGGAGAAGCAAAATGTATTTTACATTGGCCACACCAGACTGTGTGGCCAACCCAGCAAGACCCCAGTTCGAATTCTCCCACGGCCACCGAAGCGCACCCAAACTAGTGCCTTTTAAAAGACATTCTCATGGAGGGTTAAACTTCTCATTCCAACAGAGACCTGAGCATCTTCAAGGCCGAGCAAAACACTGACCCAGAAACAAAAGAGGAGGAGCAGAATTCAGTCTTGTAAACATGATTTCCCAGTTTACGGCCTCGCAAAATTCTGCCCTGCCAACCACTAAGAAATGCGGCTCTTTTGTAAAAAGGAGAGTGAGGGGAGGAGGAAAAAATGCTTAAAATTTTAACTTTGGATCTTTAGAAAATCCATGAGAAACACAGCAGCCAGAATCCGATCACCAGTTTCATGCTCGGATAAGGGAAATTGGCTCCATCTTGGTGGCAAATTACGAGGTTACCTTCCATTGTGCCTGTAAGATTTCTCAGTTCGCAGTGAAAAGAACAGTCCCATATTATTTTTCTTGCTTATTTTGCCTTGCTTTGTTTTATCTCCTTTATGGATTCATTTGCCAGCTTTTTTCATTTCATTTTTTTGGGGGGCACAAGAAACCGAGAAATTCTGCTTGGCACCTTTCTCGGGGGAACTCGGGCAACAGAAGACACTGTTTTGCACAGAAACTGTAATTATTCTACAGAGGTTGTGTTTCTGGGAGGTGGAGAGTGACACACACCCCCACAGCATCCAAGGAATCTTATGAGACATTTGGGGCGGAAGATCAAGATGAAGGAATCTCTTCCCTGGGAGGAAAAAAAAGAAGGATTCTTCCCCCCACTTCGATTTCTCACCAATACTGAGAGCTTAAGAGATTCACATCCCTAATTTTACAAACACAAAATGTTCCCCCGTGCATGAAAAAAAATCTTCCTCTTTTTTCCCTCCTGCTTTCTCCAGTTTTGTAGGCATGGATGCCTTGAGTTCTCTATGGGGGATGGTGGTATAAACAGCCCCTTTTCAAGACAACTGACGCCAAATCCAGGATACCTGCATATTGGTGAACTCCGGCGAAGGCTGGGTGCAGAGTCTCGGCAACAGACGGATTCTGGGCTAAAGGAAGAGAAGGTTGGAAATGAATCGAGGGAAGTCAACAAACAAGGAAACGGTTCGGAGAGAACAGGATGAAGGGGGGAAAATCACCCCGGCTGATTTTCCCCTTCCGAGTTGGGCAAAAGCCGCCATGACGGCACCCACAGGCAAGCAAGCTGGCGGTGCGAAGGCTTGCCAATCTCCCTCCCACCCCGTTTCATCTCTTGGGGCCCACTTGGCCCTTCTACCTGTGCAGGGCATCAGCCCGTTGGCGTAAACTGCCTCCAGCGTCGGGTGGCTGCTGGGGATAGGCACCACGCCAGTAAAGCTGTTGGCGATGGGGGCCACCAGCCCGGGGACGGTGGTCGTGCCCAGGAGAGAAGGCGAAGGTAACCCTGTGAGTCAGGGAGAGAGAGAGAGAGAGAAATATGAAAGGTGGGTGAGGGACGGCCTGCCTTCCTTTCTCTTTCAGGCTCACTTTGGAGTCAGATCCTACAGGTATGGAGTCTTGTAGGCCTGACGATTATCAACTTTTCCCTCCTCACACTTCATTCCTTCAAAGCTCCATTCCATGCCAAGTGAAGACTGGGTGGACATTTCCATGACCCACGATCAAAAGGAAAACACACTGGTGTGCATGAAGAAGGCGGGGAGGGGGGCTAGCTCCCACTCAGAAGTTCAGACATCTTTGGTCATTTAAGGAGGCCAACGATGCTTTTAACGAGGAACTAAATCCCTTCCCAAACTACAGACCCAACAGTTCCGTAGGGTTGTCGCTGTGACCAGCAAAAGGGCTCTCCAACCGCTGTAATGATGCCATGGGAATGACACTTTATCGTCTGTGTAGAGAACAGGTCCCGGACACACACACAAAGGGGCTTCATCCGATCCGGCACCCACCTGACGTTTGCGTGATAGGAGGGGGCGGCAGGCCATTGAGGCTCACTGTTCCAATCTGCTGGATGTGACACGGGGAGAAGGTGAGGCCGGGGCTGACAAAGTTGCTGTGAGATGCCGAAAGGACAGTCTGCTGTTGCATTAGCTAGAAACAAAACAGCACAGTGATTATCCATCTATTGAAATAGCTATCCATCCATCCATCCATCTACCTATCCATCCACCTAGCCATCCACCTATCCATCTAATCCATCTATTCATTTAAGGAGGCCAACGATGCTTTTAACGAGGAACTAAATCCCTTCCCAAACTACAGACCCAACAGTTCCGTAGGGTTGTCGCTGTGACCAGCAAAAGGGCTCTCCAACCGCTGTAATGATGCCATGGGAATGACACTTTATCGTCTGTGTAGAGAACAGGTCCCGGACACACACACAAAGGGGCTTCATCCGAGCCGGCACCCACCTGACGTTTGCGTGATAGGAGGGGGCGGCAGGCCATTGAGGCTCACTGTTCCAATCTGCTGGATGTGACACGGGGAGAAGGTGAGGCCGGGGCTGACAAAGTTGCTGTGAGATGCCGAAAGGACAGTCTGCTGTTGCATTAGCTAGAAACAAAACAGCACAGTGATTATCCATCTATTGAAATAGCTATCCATCCATCCATCCACCTAGCCATCCACCTAGGGGGCGGCAGGCCATTGAGGCTCACTGTTCCAATCTGCTGGATGTGACACGGGGAGAAGGTGAGGCCGGGGCTGACAAAGTTGCTGTGAGATGCCGAAAGGACAGTCTGCTGTTGCATTAGCTAGAAACAAAACAGCACAGTGATTATCCATCTATTGAAATAGCTATCCATCCATCCATCCACCTAGCCATCCACCTAGCCATCTAATCCATCCATCCATCCATCCATCCATCCATCCATCCATCCATCCATCCATCCATCCATCCATCCATCCATCCATCCATCCATCCATCCACCCACCCATCTACCTATCCATCCATCTTCTTTCCGTCTCTTCCTTCCTTCATCTGCCCATCTAGATCTAACCCCTAATTAACTCCATTCCCCCAGACTGGCTTTCTTTTTCTAAAAGGCCTGCCCACAGGAGCATCTCGGTTTAGGCTAAGGGGAGAGAGAGGAGTCCAGATTGAAAGCCATCATCAGGGCCCTCCAGCCCCAACTCACCGCCTGAGCGTAGGCGCTGTAGGGGCCGAAGGGCAAGGCCAAGGATGGGGTGAGGATGCCCAGCTGGCCCACCATCTGTTGCAGGCGCCGTAAGGTCCGCTCCTTGTCCGTGTCGGCAAACTTGACCACCAGGCTGGAGGAGGCGCCCTGGGGAGGAGGGGAGGAGAGGGGGGGGACCGAGGGGTCAGAGGCTGGGGCAGCCACAGAAAAGGGGCCACGGGCGCAGCAGCCATGCCAGGTGCCACTCACCGAGGTGGCCCCGGCTTTGACTCACACCCAAAGGGACAATTTTGTCCAATTTCCCAGGCACATTTCTGCCACTCCTGTCAATGAGTTCCAAGGGATGCAAACCAGTGAAAGCGCACCATTTCTTAAGAACTGACAGTCTGAGCCACAACGCAGTGTGCCACAAATAGCTCAGTTTCGCCCACGGGGGGAAAAAGCAGATTCGGGCCAATTGAATTGAGAGGGGCTTACTCCCAAGTAAATGCTCCTAAAACCGTGTCTGGAGGTGGCGATCCAGCACTCGCCGCTTTGCCACGAAGCCCCATTGATGAAAGCGCACCATTTCTTAAGAACTGACAGTCTGAGCCACAACGCAGTGTGCCACAAATAGCTCAGTTTCGCCCACGGGGGGAAAAAGCAGATTCGGGCCAATTGAATTGAGAGGGGCTTACTCCCAAGTAAATGCTCCTAAAACCGTGTCTGGAGGTGGCGATCCAGCACTCGCCGCTTTGCCACGAAGCCCCATTGAATGGGACAAAACCCGTTTTTTAAATATACAGTGGGGTCTTGACTTAAGAACGGCTTGAGTTAAGAACAGTTTGACTTAAGAACCACTCTCATAGGAAAATATTGACTTGACTTAATACCACCCAATACTGGTTTGTACAATTTATCAAATCCAGCCACATATTTGATGCTGCCTGGAAATTATGGGAAAAGCATATATATATTCACTAATCAGTTTTGTCCTTTCACTTTTCCTCTGGATCATGTGCCAGGGGAAAAGGAAGGGGAAACAACAACTTTTTAAAAAACGAAAAGCATGCTTGCAATCCTGCTCAATCGGCTGCTCGCCTCTCCCAGAGTTCCACCCACCCTAGGTGAGCGGCTGTTTCAGGCACTGAGAATCCAACACTGGAAAATTGGGTGGGTGGTGAGAGAACCACATGCCCCCCCCTTCTCTGCCTTTTGTCACGCCAGGAAATAAACCAGATTTTTATTTATTTTACTCACAGGCATTGATTGACTCCCGTGGAGGGCATGGATCGCGGCTTGAGCCTCTGTGTGAGAGGAGAATTTAACAAAAGCACAGCCTGGGGGGTGGGGGTGGGGAGATCAGGAGCGAGAGGAGAAAAAGAAAGAAGGTGAGGGGAAAAAATGGGGAAATAAGAATAATGCTAGGAAGGGTTACACATTGCCTGCAAAGAAAACGTTCACATTCCTATTTGGCCCATCATTCTGGGCTCGGCTGACTGTCCGTCTCTCCTGCACTAAACCAGAATCCTTGCATTCAATAAGGCACCCCCCGCCCACCCCCCCACCCACCGCCTCTCTGTTCTGGGTCTCATTCCTTTCTTTTTGCTTGGTTGGTGAGCCTTTTGAAGCCTGTCTGCTGAAAGCGGTCACATTTGTCTTGTCCGTTTGCCATTTCATCTCTTTCAAGGGTAAGGAATGCAACCTTTCATTCTTTCTCTTAGTCATGTCTCAGAGCGAGTTACTGAGACAGTTAAGTGCCCGTGAATGAGAGAGAAGGGATGGACCACTCTGGTGGGAGATGGGACTTGAAAGCTATTCTGCTCTGGCAAATCTCCGCATCTTCCCTGGAACCATTTCGAAAGCAGGTTAAATTTGCAGTGCAGACAGACAGTCGACCGCAGGAGAGCGCGCTGGCGGGTGGATGGAAGGAACCGCACACACCTTTGCTGTTTCCGTCCGGCCCCCTCAACACCGTGCATTCATCGATGACCCCAAATGGTTCAAAGAGATGGACAATGTCTTCCTCCGACTGCTGCTTGCTCAACATGCCAACAAACAGCTTCCGGTCTCCTACGAGAAAGCAAGAGCCACACACAGAACCATCAACCTTCTGGGGGGTCTCCCTGAAAGAGGCCAGAAAGACCCAGTGGCTAAGACCCATGGAACCTCCGTTATCCAAGGGGCACTGAATCCGTTCTGGGTTTTCCTCCAAACTTTACACCCCTTCTTCTCTGAGGCACTTAAAGACAACCATCATTCCCACTTGCAAAACCAATTCAATGCCTTGGACGTCTCTTTTAAAGTTTGGAGCAAAACCTGGACCAGAACTAGGCTCATCCACCTTGAGGGGTCAGATTTTAGGGCCCACTGAGATGTGAACCATCAGGGATGACCTTGTGCCAGCCAAGCTTCTTCTCTCTCAGCCTACCTCACAGGCCTGTTGTGAATATAAAGTAGGGAGATGCAGTACGATAACTAACTTTCAGTTCACTGAAGGAGACAGCAGATACAGTAAATCTATAAGGATACAGGTACACACCCACACACCCACACACACCCACAAACACACCCGATTCTAAACAAGGGGTTTTAAGGAGAAATTTTTTTTTTAAGTATGTTTTTCAACTGCATCGTAATTCAGTGTTGTTATGATTTAGAACTGTTTATTTACATTTTTACTGTATTATTTTAAGATTGTTAGCCGCCTAGAGTGGTCCTCGCTTGATCAGATAGGAGGGATATAAATAAAATAAATAATAAATAAAATAAACTCTTTTCCCACAGGGTTTGATTTTGTGCTTTTCAACCATTGGTAGCCTGAATAGCTTTTTCATAATATGAGTTAAAAAACACACAATTGTTAACTGTTTTGATGGCTGAACCGAGGAGCGAATCACAGCTAAAGCCAGCCCCTGGAATCAATGGCATCCTCAGAGGAGACGTGACTCACCCAGTCCCCAGCAATCCAAGGGGCCTAATCCAGTTGCAACTTCCCACAGGATTCGAACCAGTAAATAAAATGATTGCTAACTGCTCCCTGTCTTTTAAATTCCCCCTTTGGTGGCGGCAAGTCCCTCAAGGCTGGGGTGTGGATATATAACAAAGCTTTGCAAGACCTGAGGTGTGTCTCAAACCACAACCCCTTAATGCACCTTGTACAGATAGATAGATAGATAGATAGATAGATAGATAGATAGATAGATAGATAGATAGATAGATAGATAGATAGATAGATAGATAGATACAGACAGACAGACAGACAGACAGACAGACAGACATAGAGACAGACAGACAGACAGACAGACAGACAGACAGACAGACAGACAGATAGATAGATAAGGAAGGAGCAGACAGACAGACAGATCCTCTTGGCTGTCGTTTGGTGCAGCTCAAGGAAGCCACAACTGTTTACTACAACACTTGAGCTTAGCAAAACGTTGGTGGACTTTGAGGAGATTTTTAGATGCAACACAAGCCCCATGGGAGATGTAGTGGTGGCCACTCTGCCCCCCCCCCCGCAAGCTCTTCAAGTCTTTAGGAAGTAGAAAGGTTTATTTATTTATTTTTATTTATTAGATTTTTACCCTGCCCCTCTAGACCATGTCTACTTGGGCAAAAAGATTTTTATCAGGGCAAAAAGATTTTTAAATGCGACATTCTCCCGCAGTGGGCCGTCACATTACGCGTGCGTGCACGCACACACACACACCCCGGGGGGCTAGTGACAAAAGGCTGGGACATGTCGAGTCGCAGCTTTGGAGACACGGCGCCCGGCCCTCCTTCCTGGAAGCGACAGGATCCAAGGGGCCGGCGAAAAGGGAAGCCGATCAGACATGACAGGAGTCAGGAGGAATGGCCAAGAGGGCCCCCCCGCACCCCGATCGTTGGAGGAGAGCGTTGACCTGGAAATGTGTTGTTTTCGGTTCGTAGCAGAGAGGAAAACCTTAGTCCAGAACCGCTCGCTTGCAGAGATGGGCTGCTTTGGTATTTTGAAAGGATGATGGCTTCCCTTCAACCCGTTGGCCACAAAAGAGGGTGCCCGGTGTACCTCTACATGATAAGTCCCCTGGCCTGGCACCCTTACAATTTCTATGCGCGTAAGAAAGACCCAGGAAGAGAGATGCCTCTTCTAAGCTAATACCTTCTGTTTTATAATCATCAACCTCTTAGAACAGCAGAGCTGGAAGGGACCCTTAAAGATAATCCAGTCTAGCCCCTGTCAAGGAGGCCCAGTGGGAGGATTTGAACTCCCAACCTCTGGTTCTGCAGCCAAAGACGTAAAACCCTGAGCCAACTAGCTGTTCATTTATTCTTCCTTTGCATTGCAGACTGGAGCAGGGATGTAAATCCAGACTCATCTTGTTCTTCTTTGTGAGGAGAAAGAAACGGCTGTTTCCCCCACTTCTCTTTGACAAGAGGATGAGATGATTTCTATTGGTAGGAATAAAACCTCCAGGCAAAAGAGCGACAGCTCCTGCTTTGAAACATGGGTTTTTACAACTTTGAAGCACTGGATGGGTGTTTTGTGTCTTGGATCAATCCAGCAATCCCTTGGTGCCTGCTCCCTCTCTGCTTTGCTCCACCAAGGCCCACGAGGACTGGAATCCTACTTTTAGGAAAAGCAGCGTGGGTCAGCAATAAAGCAGACCGTTCACACCCAACAGACCCCACGTTGAAGCTTGAGGGTTTGAGGTGTAATGTGTAGTTTGGCCTCATCATTAAGCAGAGAGATAATAGGAAAACCATCTCCTTTTCACCTCCAAAGCTCTCATTTCGGGAGAGGCAGGCCAATTCCTGGAAACGTCTGATTGAACTCTGAGAAGGCAATCTTAGATGTTAAAAAGCCAGCCATTTCTTTGAGGGCTTTGTATCCTGCAGGACGTCCATCAAAAAACCTGGGTTCAAATCCCTACACAGGCTAAAACCAAGCTCCTCAGGGATGACAGAAAGAGAAAAACCACGAGCACATGCTTAAGGCTTTAGGGGCGTGTGTGTTTTATGTAAACAACAAATAGTAGCGGGATGGGTCTCCGTGCCTTTTGACGTCCTTGTTTTTGATCCCCGGGGGGAATAAAAATAAAGGCAGAGCCACCAATGTTATTTCTGGGGACACATCTTTTTCCAAGAGGGATGACTGAGGTCCCCACGCGCAGAAACATGGAAAGCTCTTTCTTGATTTCAAGGCTCAGATCCATCACCCGTGTGGGGGGAAGCATCTGCCCAGATCCATTAGCAGAGCTGTATCTGACTGCCGCGCGCCCGCGCCATGACTCCCTGTGGTAACCCACAGATCTGTAAAGAGGAAACGGTGCTATTTCTCTCCTTTTAAAAAATCATCCTGATAATCCTGTCCTTCCTTAGCCCCTTCTCTCCACGGCCCCCTCCCCACCTCCAGCTTCCTTCTCTTTTCCCTCCAACCTGCCCATCTGGCCATGAGCGACAACCGTCTTTGAGATGAAACTGGGTTTCCATAGAAACACGAGCCCCAACAATCAGAAGCAGAGCGAGAAAAAAAGGAGAAATGTCGAGTGTGGAGGGGGAGGGGAGAAAGGGCTCAAAGCCGCTGATGCGCTGGCAGAAAAATCACTGAGCGACCGTGGGAAGGGACACCGAAGGGTCACCTAGTCCAACCCCTGGGCCCATGAAAGATATCCTCAACCCTAACCCATAGACCTCCAACCGCTGATTGGAAAAAAAAACTCTCCACTAAAGGCAAATTTAGCCCTTTTGGAGGCAGATCTTACCACTGGAAAGCTTTGCCTCACGTCTAAGAGAAATCTCCTTTCTTGTAATTTGACCCCTCACTTCGAGTCCTGCCCTCTGAAACTACAGAAGATGAGCTTGCTCCATTTTTCACATGATGGCCTTTCGAACCTCGGGGAAAATGATCTCTTTGTCTTCCCTGGCAAAGGCTAAAAATACCCACCTCCCTCAACCACCAGGTCTGGGTTCTAGAGTTCCCGCAATCATCTTTTCCCCTAGCTTAAAGAAAGAACAATCCCATTCAGACGCTGTCTCTCTCGCTCAGAGATTGGCAATAAAGAGGTACAAAGAGTTTGCTTGTCATTAATTACTTTTAAATGTGTATGTGCAAGAACTAATGGATCCTCCTAATCATTTTAGAACTGCCGGGCCAGAAGGGACCCAATGGATCACTGAGTCCAGGCTTTGTCAGGGAGGCCCTGTGGGAGAATTAAACTCCCAACCTCGGGCTCTGCAGCCGGAGACCGCCAGCCACCCCTGAGCTCTCCGACAACCTGACATTAGAACAGTTATGGAATGAGAGAGAATCCCACTCTTTCTGCAGTGTCACATCTTGTAATGACTTTCAAAGTGACACAGACGACTCTTATTTCGTCTGCTCCGGGTTTTAATCCGAACCTTCAAAAGCAACTCTTCAAGGCATGGGACCCCTTTCCAGGAGGAAACACACACTCTTTAAGAGGGAATGGACCCACGCTAGCAGGTACAACCCTATATTAAAGCCACATTTTATCCAGGAACCACCATATTTTTCCATGTATAAGAACCCCACACACTTTTCTAACCCAAAATTAAGAAATCTAAGTGGGGCTTAGCAAGTGCAGGGGAAAGCAGGGATCAAAGCCCTGCAGGATCACTTTGATCCCTGCTTTCTCCTCCACTTGTTTTCTCTCCTCAGCTTACTTCCGTGTATAAAACGACCCTCAATTTTTAGTCTAAAGATTTTAGACAAAAGTATAGTTGTATACATGGAAAAATACGGTATATGGCAGTGAATCTAAGTTCCTTCTCATTCCAACCATTTATTTTCACAACGATCTGGCAAGGTAGGTTAAACTGAGAGAGATTTTTCCAGCTAGGTGTAGATTTGAATCCACCGTTAACCAAAACACCAGGCTGGATCACTATCCCTCGTTTTTCCCATCACGCCTCCCCTCCCGCAGGGCTTCGAGTTTGGATTCAGCTGATCACAAGGAACTTCTCTCGTTTTTCATAAACTGAAAGCCTCCCTCCACCCGACCACGCCATCAAGGAGAGATGACAACTACCTCCACGGCTTTCGCTGTCCGCGGGCTTCACTTGGATCG